CAAAGGAGGGCAGACATGTCGGGACATGAGAACGGCAGAAAAGGCGGCAAAGCCCACGCAAAGGCAGCGGGCTAGCCTCAATTGCCACATCCCCCTCTCCTAAATTTGCCCTTTACCGGTCTGCAAAAGGCAGCCGGGCGTTAAGGCTGGTGCACACCGGCGACTAGCAGCGGTCGCGCGACCATTCGCGACTGGCGACCAAAAAGCGACTGATGTTCACACCGGCAGAGGCTGCATGCGAGCGACCGGAAGTTGCGAAACCGGAGAGTCACGTCCGGATCTCGTTATCAGCGAGAACTCTGGAGACCGGCGCCGATCAGCTGATCGTCGCCAGCCGAGGGAGTGGAGCGAACCGAGCGCGCCGCGTTTATTGTTTCCGTCCGTTCTCGCGCAGCGTTCCAAACAGCGTCAAGTTCGATTCAAGCGAAGAACAAGACATTGTCATGGTGCAGGTGCGCTGTGCCATGGTGTCAGCACTGGCATCACAGATGCCTCCAAAGAAAAAAGCCGGTAGTGGGTTTACAAGTCCTTACGATCGCAGGAGTTGGTCGGCCATGCAAGCCGCCGGCCTCCCGAGCTGCGCTGAGACGACGAGGAGTATTTCCGAGAGTCGTACGTATTCAGAAACGGTCCTTGAATTTCACTTGACTTGTCACAGCCTACAATGCAGCACAAACATGTCTTGAACGCGGTGTCTTATGTCGTTGCCAAGACATGAAGCACAAATGCGTTCCAAACGCGCTGCATTGAAGGCGGTGACAAGTGAAGTCCAAGACAAAAAACGATTCTGAATACGGGGAAAAGATAGTGCACAATTTATTTTCGCTGTACTTTGACGGTGTTTAGCGTTTTGCGAATGGCGCCACGATAATTTAACACTTTGCTCGAGCGGCTGCGCCCCGCCATCTCCAAGCCAAGTATTCCGTGGTGGCCATGGCGCCACAGACCCAGAGGAACGCACCCGTTTGTATCTGGCGGCAGGAAGCCAGCGCAATGAAAAAGAAAAAAGAAATTGAGCACCGCTGATGGGTTCCAGCAGCTTTGCGACTGCAGTCGCGCGACTGAAAAATCGGTCAGGGAGTGACTAGCCAAAGTAGTCGCTTGGCGACCGTTTGCGACCGTTCGCGACTGCTTGCGACCAGTCGCAAATGGTCGCGCGACCGCTGCTAGTCGCCGGTGTGCACCAGCCTTTACTCATGCAGTTAAAAAATGGCACCGCTATGAGCAAGACGGTGGCCTCTCCCGACCCAGTTGCTGCAGCACAAACTACAATGAAAACGCTTTAAAGGTACAACAAACATGAGCTTTATGTTCATAAAAGGAAGGGGAAAAAAAAACGAGTAGGGAAAGTACAAGAATACATGAACGAACACTGGTAACACGAGGAAAAAAAAAGACACACACAAAGTCAAATAAAGTCTTCATCAAAACTGACGAGGAAGTCTGCGCTGGTGTCGCCGTTGCCGCTACCGTCCGGCGCAGATGTGTCAGCCAACGGAATCCCTGGACCAACGAGGGCCGCGAAGACCGGGTTTTTGCGCATTCTTTCCCGGCACAGAGCAGCCAGGTCTTCGTTGGAGAGCGCCGTGGGTGGCACGGATGAGGTCGGCGTCGTCTTGCTACACCCGGAGGCTCGCGCCGCCTGGGCTTTTCCCGCGTGGAGGCTTCCCCGAAAATGGCTGTTGGCGTATACGTTGACCCCGCACAATGAGCACACACGCACCCCAGGTGGGTCTGGCAGCCGGGCACGTCGCACTCGCCGCTGAGCCTTCCACGGCAAATCGCTCACGAAGCACTTGGGCGCCAGTGTGGTGTACACGTATCCCGAAGGAGTACGGCCACCAGCGTGGGTCCGGTCTTAGCGAGCCGTAGGGCACGCGTTAACCGTCGCCGTGGTGGGAAACGTGATACTGCTCAGTCGCAACACTTTATTGTGGCAACACCAAACGCAGTACAGCCCGTTGCAAAAGGCGCGGCAGGAAAGCAAATAGGCTTATCCACGCCACGGGCGCAAAGTACTACACAGGGTGCCACGAGCACGTCTCCGCGGTAAAGGTGATCCACGGAGACACCGGGACCAAGGCCCGGTTGCTCGAGCGAGGGCAAAGGCGCTCGCGTTGGCTTCGAAGGGAGACGGGTCGGCGTAGCTAGGCCACGCACTAGGACACCGTACCACCCCTCGGCTGTGCGTACGCAGCGGGGCAACAAAAGGTGAGCGTTCGTCTCGGGCGCGAGGTGCCGTCAGCGAAGTCCGACGAGCCGCGAGCGACGGGAGTCGACGGACGGAAAAGATTGCGTGGCTCACCGTTTGCTGTCCCGGAGAGTATCTGTCTGCCCGCTCCCATTGCAGCGCGCGAAAACCTCTCGGGAGTCCCCGCGCGCGGCGCCACAGTCAACATCCGCTTCCGGGTGAGGGAGTTAAACGTCACTCTGCTCTCCCACCACGGCAGACAGCAAAGGAGGGCAGACATGTCGGGACATGAAAATGGCAGAAAAGGCGGCAAAGCCCGCGCAAAGGCAGCGGGCTAGCCTCAATTCCCACACATGTTAGTAGGTCGCCATCACGACCTTGCATATCGCAGCAGCATACCGTATAAACCGGACTATTGGTCGAGTGGGAATATAGGTCGACCCCCCAAGTTCCGGCTACCGAAAAAAAAAAAGGGAAACAACCCAAAACTGCTGAACCACATTTATTCGCGAATTGGGCGCACCGCACCCCGATCATCGGAGCTCCCCTCAACCACCGTCGCAACACCTCCTATTCATCTGACGAAGCACAACTGTCTTCTGAAGACAAGAGTTTGTCGCTGGCCGCCTCCCACAGTGCGTCGTCTTCAATGCCATCCAGAGAGTTGCTGATGCAACATTTCTTGAAAGCATTTTTCATCATGGAATCCGGCAAGGAAGCCAGGTGGAAAGCACCCAGCCACAAACAATCTCAAGCGGAGACCTCTGTAGGCGGCCCGTCGGTGTCTCGGGGTTGTCGTCGGACATCCACTCTTGGTATTCCAGCCGCACTCGGTCCTTGAACGGCTTGTTTAGCACAACGTCGAGCGGCTGGAGGGTGGACATCATACCACCTTGTATCACAGCGAGGTGCGTTTTCCCGTCGCCGAGAGCGCGTTTCACTGCGTCGGTTAAGTGGCCACGAAACGCATCCAACACCAGCATGCTGCGAAGACGCAGCAGTGCACCTGGCCGACCGTTCCACACCACTCTTATTCATTCGAACATCATGGCCTCGTCCATGTATCCCTTTTTGTTGACGCGAACAACAACACCGGGTGGGAACACTTCCTTCGGCATTGTCTTGCGTTTGAAAATGAAGGGCGGAAGCTTTCTACCATCTGCCGTGCATGCCAGCATGATGGTGAAGTGCGAGTGCTCGTTGCCAGTGGACAAGAGTGATAACATCCTTGGCGCCGCGCTGCGTGATCGTCGTCGACAAAGGCATGTCAAACCACACGGGGGTCTCATCAGCGTTGCCAATCTGCCCATCATGTAGTCGTTCTGCTCCCGAAGCCAGTGCACGAAGCGCTGAAAGTTTATGAGCTTGTCCTTGAACTCCTCCGGCAACTTTTGACAGATGGATGTGCGCCGCCGGAGAGAAAATCTTTTGCGTCGCATAAATCGACGCACCCAAGAGTTTGGTGCACGAAACTCTTCTCTCGTGAGCCCAGCTTCTTGAGCGAGTTCCACTGCTTTTTTACGAATGGTATCCACGGTCATTGGCAGCGAGCGCTCACGAACTTCCCGCACAAAGTCCGCTAGCTTATCCTCCAGCTGCGGATGAACGGAACTTTGTCCACGAAACGTCATTTTTCGAGGATTGCACATCTGCAGCTTCCCTTTCTGCGCCTTCCAATAGCGCACGCTTTTTTCCGATACATCAAAGCGGCGCTGAGCAGCCATATTCCCGTTCGCTTCTGCGAACTCAACAGCATCTAGTTTAAACGCAACTGAGTACTGCCTCTTCGCACCGCCACTCATATTCAGTGAATGAAAAAAAAAAACACCACTAAAAATGCAGTGCAATGTCTAGCGGAGCGAAATCTCAGAACAGATCGGAAGGAAATCACGAACACAAAGAAAATAGACTGAGAAAAAAAAAACAGCCTGCGGTTGGATTTGGATGCGGATATGGCCGCGTCCGGTTTCTCAAGCACATGTTGCCAGACAGCGGCGCACTTTCGGCTAGACACCGCTATATAAGACGAGGGGCGACTTTAGCTTATTCTTTTATTGAAAATATCTCGACTTATATTCCGGTTTATACGGTAGTTGCTGTTGTTGCAAAGGACTAACCCATAGTAGTTTGAGTCTCTTGATCAGGTCTTGCGTGATGCCTTCTTTTCTATCTTATGGCTTCCCTTTCCTTGATTTGCTGGCACGGTGCCCATTTTCTTTTCCACATGATTCATAAGTCCTCATTATTAGTTATTTGTATAAATCCATAGCTTCTCACTCAGCATCTGAAAAACTCTGCTGTCTCCATCGGAAACCGCACTGCAGTACCGTAGACCAGCCAAAAAGCTGCAGTGCACCCTCCACCTCCATGCGATCAGGTTCAACGTCAGTGTTCTTTTGGCACTGATGGTACTGCTTCCATTGGGGATACAAGGGGTCATACTTTGTTGGATCCAGATGGCACTAGAGGCAGCATTTGGAAAGGACAACTCTGTCGAGCACAAGCTCTGTATGGAATTCGGTTATGCACCCTACTCCTATATGCAACTTATGACCATGCATCACCTAGGTACCGTTGCAGACAACGGTGACATTTTTAGAAAGCCCAATGTCCATCTCTCTATACGCTCTTTTGATGGCACCAACAGTGTCTGCAAATCTCTAATCTTTGGGTATGAGACTTTTTTTCTGGCACTCTAGAAAACTTAGCTGCCTCCTTCCTTGATATGGTTCTCATCTGCACGTTACAAATATTTGTATGTTGAGCATAAAACAATAGCATACCTGTATGTGTTGATGCATGGATGCAGCACCCGGGGGTACCCTGATCGTGGATGTGGACTCAGCCAAGCCCTCGCAGACAGACGTGTGCGTCTTTTCGGCCCCCAACAACATGGAGGTGCTGAAGAACTACGCCCAGCTCATCACCAAGCTGATCCGGCGTTACAAGTACCTAGAGAAGACGCTGGAGGAGGAGTTCAAGAAGGTGCTGATGTTCCTGAAAGGTTTCAGTGCCGAGAACCGCCAGAAGCTGGCGCGGGTGCTGGCGGTGCTAATAGCAGGAGGCCAGGTTCCTGCCTCGGTGCTGCAGAGTGCCTTGCAGGACCACCTCGTGAAAGACGGCCTGGCCCTGCAGTGCCTGCTGGATGTGCTCCAGACCTGGCTGGACGAGCGGGACCCGTCCACACTGTGGGCTGTGCTGCGCAAGGCAGGATTTGACTCGCGCCTCATGGTGCGTGTCGGGCATTACAGCTCTTTTTAATTTTCTTAGAAAGGTAATGCGAGGCGGTTGCGAGGTATTGCGAGCTATTCTCATACTGTTCATTTCAGGTGCAGCTTGTTAACGTGATAGTGTTAAAGAGCTCTAGTTTACTGCAGCCGTACGCAGAGAAAATGCTGTGTGTGCACCAGCACAGCTCGTCACTCCATAGAACAGATGCGCATTTTGTGTGTGCAGACTGTGATAAGGCGTTCTGCAAAGATCCGAGTTTCAAGGAATACCACACTTTGAAATACAGTGCAGTCCACTTATAACGATACCACATATAACGATATATCGGTTATAACGATGGGTCGACTTAAGGGGAGACGCGGGTCGAAAAATCGCGTTTTTTCCGGAAATTTTCACTTTTTTGTTTTCAGTCGTATTAGATTCTTTAAACATTCATGTTTACCAGAAATAAATTTCAATCGGTAATTCGTGTCAGAAGTTACTGAAAAATGCGCTCAAGTAAGCCCCGGAGACCTAGAAAATCGCTGAAATCTGCCGAAATCGACGTTTTGCCGGCCCCGGTATCTCGAGGCAGCGGCACCGTGCGCCATTTGTAATCGCTGAGGCGGTTAGAGTTGTCCATGCTCTCTCGAACACAGGCTCGAAAAGTCTCGTCCGGAAAGAAAAAAATACTATAAAAAATCCTTTTTTGAACGCCCCTGCGTGCCGTTTGAATCGCACGGCGCGTCACGTGGTGCCGTAGCGAGCGCGCCATTGGCTAGAGCAGTGCCCGCTTGTCCCTTCGGCCCCGCTCTGCATCGCAAGCTGAACTTCGCAAGGATTTATTCAATTAGTTATGCGATGAATCCTGCCAAAAAGCAGGTGTACAAGGTGAAAAAGTACCGGACGATAAACAAGTATGTGGGAAAACGTCGTAAAGTGCGTCGTCAGACTGCGGCAAAGGTGAACGGGCCGGAGAGGTCTAGGCCTAACCCCAGCGTCGGCAACTATCGCGACAGTGACTTCGCCGGCGGCCTCGACGCTGCCGCAAACTTCGTCAGCGCCTCACAAAAAAACTGGAGTTTTTTGAGAAGAACCAAAGGCGTGCGCATGATGGCGTATCATCAGCAGTGCTGTGCGACATCGATGCGATGACGGCACTTGTGGGCGGAGCGGAGTGCCCGTCTTGCCGTGAACACAAACTTGTTGTTCGCGAGGTGGCAGAACGGCGCAAAGGACTGTCGTCCTGTCTCGAGTTGCGGTGTGAGAACAGTGAGTGCACGTCGAGGCGTGTTGCCTCCGGCGAAGCCGCCGCAGCATCTGACGACTGCGCGGAGGTGGGGCACTACGGCAACGGCAGCTCGCGCGATAGCTTCGCGGCTAATGTGAAAGCTGTTGTAGCCTCGCGTGCCATAGGCATCGGACATGACCAGCTTTCGCGGTTTTGTGCGATTGTTGGACTAGCGAAGCCCATGCACCACAAAACCTTCCAGGCAATCAGCAAGAAGGTTCACGATGCTGCTATGAGGGCCGTGACCGAAAATTTGAACCAGGCAAGAGCCGTAACAAAGCAGGTGGTTGGTAGTAGTGACGTGGCCGTAATGTATGATGGAACTTGGCAGAAACGGGGCCATAAAAGCCACAACGGAGTCGGCGCGGCTATCTCCTTGGACACCGGCCTGTGCTTAGATTTCGAAGTGCTGTCGAATTACTGCCACGCTTGCAGTCTACACAACGACATGGGCTCTGAAGAGGAAATCTGGCAGGCCTACCACAGACCTGTCTGTGAGAAGAACACCGACAGCTCCGCTCATGGCATGGAAGCTGAAGCAGCACTACGGATATGGGAGCGCACTTTGCTGTATGAGACTCCACTTCGCTTCGCAACATTTCTTAGTGATGGCGACAGCAAAGCATATAACAGAGTTTGTGATGCCAAGGTGTACGGTGCAGGTGCCATCTGCAAGGAGGACTGCACTAATCATGTTGCGAAGCGCCTAGGCACTGGCATACGCAAATTGCCGACACCACTGCCCAGAGGTGAGAAGCTCAAGCCTGCCACCATTGAAAAGCTGCAGACATATTATCAGATCGCCATCACGGGCAATAGAGGCAACCTACGGGACATGTACACTGCCATATGGGCGTCCTACTTTCACTCTTGCTCCACTGATGGTGCTGGCAGCCACAACTTCTGCCCACCAGGCCAAGAATCGTGGTGCAAGCACAAGCGTGCTGAAGCAATGGGCGAGCCTGCACCACAGCATACACCACTTCTGACAAAGGCACAGGGCCGGGCACTGCTGCCCATAGACAAGCGCCTTTCTGACGAGAAGCTGCTGGCCCGATGCCTTCGAGGGAAAACTCAGAACGCTGCTGAGTCTCTCAACAGCAAGGTGTGGCTGCTGTGCCCTAAAACAAAGTTTGCTTCCCGAAGTGCTGTGGAGACTGCCACAGCCATTGCTGTGCTCTGGTATAACCGGGGCCATGCAAGCTTCGAGGTGGTCCTGGAGGAGCTTGGTGTTCTACCACCAGCAAGCTTGACCACCCTGGGGGACTACAGCGACAAGAGGCGCATTCAGAAGATGAATGCCCAACAGACTGCTGAGGCGAGGGCTCACCGCCGCACATCGGCCAAGAGAGCTCGCCTACAGGACTCCGCTCGGAAGGACCGCGAAGGAGTTACATACAGTGCGGGTGAATTCTAGTCACCGTGGCCAGCTCCTGGACATACTGCCTGTGCATTAGACACACTTTTGAGTGTTTGCAAGTGCGCCCTAATTAGTAAACATGTTCCAAACTTTCAAACGCGTTTTTCTCATTTTGAAATTTTCGGCCACGGTCACATTTCACTCACATAGTTTCATCCCCTTAAAATTGTCCTATTGCGATGAAACTTGGCACACACATTCTTCAAGGTGTGTAGAGTGCCGTTATCTATTCTGATTTATGATGCATAGCCATTATCAATAAAAACATACCAAGAAATGATACAAGGAACCCTGAAAAAAAGAAGTTTGGCAGATCTGTTCATTTTTTGTAGTAACAGCTTTTTTTTCTCGTAACTTTAACCTCTTAAATGCACACAGTAGTTCATGACAAGCATAATAAGCTATTACACAAACATCTACACAAAAGTTTTGATGTCGAAAAAGCGAGAGTAAAAATCCCTTTGTTTTGCTATTGCATGTATAATAACTTTAAAAGTAATGAGGCTACACAAAATCTGATAACAGTTTTGGAATCTACAAGAAAAAATATCTCTGTGGCTAAATTTTGGAAACCCTAACTTGAAAACTAAAGAAAAAGTGTTTTCGAGTAGCGTCTCCCCTTAACAGTCTCATTTTATGCATTGGGGCTATGGGGGAAAAAAACCATATATAACGATATGTTATCCACCGCATATCGGATACAACGATGAAAAGTTTGCCGTGGACGGCATGTTTCATTCAGAATATAATCGTAACATTTAGATTGATAAGTTCCTCTGAAACGAACTATGCCGAGACAAGACGAAAAGTTAGCGTAGGCGAGTACGTATCTGCCGCCACTGCAGCACAGCGCCGGCAGCGCGTCCCGGCCGTTCAAAAAGCCGAGGAGAGCATCGCGAGTTGGCGCGACGCGCTACAGATGGCGCCAGCTGTGTCACGTTTTGCGCCTCGCCGCGCGTCGACCGCGGAGAGGCTGAGAGAATTTAAAAAAAAAATGCGAAAAGCAAAGCGCCGCGCTCCGCGGCTCCCCGCCTTCTACAACGGCAAGCCGGCAAGCTACTCGTAGCTTGCTGAACGAAAGCGGGAAAGAGAGAAAATAAAAAATGCGAAAAGCAAAGCGGCGCGGCGGCATCGGGGCGGGGCATCGTTGGCATTCCGGCTGTGTACCTCTGGCTGTGCTTTCTTCCTCCCACTGCTCCCACCCCGCCGTCGGTCAGTCTCTCTTCCTCAGCGAACCCGTGATGCGTTCTTCGGAGTAAGAAATAGTCTTGTTTTTGACATCCTACTATCTACAATATTTATTAATTGGTGAAAATAGCGAAATGAAGCGTGGAGCTACAAAAGGTACGTCCGGCGACGATTTTTTGGCGGCAGTCCAGATATAGCGATCACCGGTTATAACGATCATATTTTTAGGTTTTCTCGATATCGTTATAAGTGGACTGCACTGTACTATGGAATCCTGATTATACACTGAAACCTAACGAATTCGCTGTAAACGGTTATTCGTAACACTGTATTTATGGAAAGGTAGTGGTCGCTTAATTATTTATAACCTATACAGTGGACTCCCAATAAACAGCTCCGCCGTGGTGGTCTAGTGGCTAAGGTAGTCAGCTGCTAACCTGCAGGTCGCGGGATCGAATCTCGGCAGCGGCGGCTGCATTTCCGGTAGAGGCGGGAATGTTGTAGGCCCGTGTGCTTAGATTTGGGCGCACGTTAAAGAACCCCAGGTGGTCGAAATTTCCGGAGCTTTCCACTACGGCGTCTCTCATCATATGGTGGTTTTGGGACGTTAGACCCTATATATCAATCAATCGACTCCCAATAAACGAAACTTGCTTAAACAAAAATGCCTCATTAATGGAACTAAACGGGCTCATAGGGCTGGATTTCTATGTGTTGCGCAGTAAAATTCATCAGTTAATCGAAACAGTGCTTATTGGTCACTCACAGTTAAACGGCACAAACTCTAAACACTGCATAGACTTGCTCATGCCAAAGGTATTCTCACAATCATGGTAACACCTTGAGATCGAGACAAGCCAATCCAGTAGCCTTTCTCGCTTGTGGCTGTGGGAGTGAAGTCGGCGAGTCAATTATGTTTTATTCCTATTTGTGTGGCGAAGTGTGGTGGATCACGGTGCTATTTCAGCCTGATGGAAAGGAAGCAGCCGCACCATACTCTCTCGCTTGAAAAAAAGCTGCAAATTCTTCAGGAGCTCGATGATGGAAGGGGCGAAAAAATGCATCTCGAAATCGACGCTGTCGCGGATCTGGAAAGACGGAGACAAGATTGAAGGCACTGTT